CCTCCCACGGCCGGAAGGATGTTTAAAAGGGGGTTTGCCAAAGGCCCTCGTGTCCCCAGGAGTGTAATGCCCACTATTCAGTGGGACCTTAGGCGGTAGCCTTGTTTCTTTGTGCCTCAGTTTCCTCTATAAAAATGGGGGAAACAACCCCTACGTCTTAGAGTTGCTGTAAAAGTCAGTCATGAGCTGGAACAGTGCCTGGTCCATGCCAGGTGCTCATGGCCTGCAGGGCGTCACCGCTATGGCAGTTTGGGGCTCTTCCTGCGCTCTAGGATCAGACACATCAAGGCCACAGCCCATCGGTCTGCCCGAGAGCCTCAACTGGATCTTTCCTTTCTTTTTAAAGATTTATTTATTTGAGAGAGAGACGGAGCGCGTGCAGGGGGCAGGGGGGAGGGGCAGAGGGAGAGAGCGAATCCAAGCGGACTCCGCACTCAGCTCCGCACTCAGCTCAGAGCCCCATGTGGGACTCAATCTCACGATCCTGAGATCATGACCTGAGCCGAAACCAAGAGTCAGCCGCTTAATGACTGAGCCACCCAGGCGCCCCAACTGGATCTGTTCGTATACTAACGGGTCCTGACTCCGGGGGGTCCGTGTAGGGCCCTCCAACAGAACTAATGCTGGGGGCTCAAAGGAGCAGCAACCGGGGGCAGTGAGGGCCTCAGATGCGGCATGTGTGTCCTTGGGGCTGGTGACAGGCACACACACAGAGATCCTAAAACTGCTGCTGCTGCATTCAGGGCGAGAGTGGAGACTTTCAGGTACCACCGTGTGGCTCCCAAGCCCAGGTGTCAAGCCGCTGACCAGATCCCCGACGGCAGGACCCACAGATGTCATGTGGCCTGCTCAGGGCTGCAGCCTCCCCCGTGAATGGCAGGAGCCAGCATGGCGATCAGCGGGGGTCGGGGGCTCACCTGGGCAGGGCAGACAGCCTCGCAGAGCTTACAGGCGATGCAGCGCTCCTCTCCCGACGGATACCGGCGCAGCGCATGCTCTCCCCGAAAGCGAGGGCTCAGTGGGCCCTTCTCGAATGGGTAGTTGATGGTGGCAGGTTCCCGGAACAGGTAGCTCAGGGTCATGCCCAGGCCTGTGGGCAGCAGGTGCACGGTGGGTGGGGGACCCTCCTCCCTAACAATCCGCGCCCACCCCCTGTCCTGCCAAGCCCCCTTCCCCCAGGGCCCACCTCGGATGAGCTCAGTCCACAGCAGGGTCTGAGCCGCCCTGTCGGTTACCGCCTTCATGTCCATCGAGGGTTCCCGCATGTTCACGAACTCTGCAGGGGAGGTGGGCTTAGAAGGGGCCATGGCAGGGTCTCTCGTGTGCCCATGTCCCCGAGGAATCCAACTCAGGGAGATAGGGCCTCATCTTCCTTCCAGCTGGGCCTCAAGGGCTTGTTCGTTCATCAAACCTTCCGGCCTCAGCAAGCGCCCTGCAGGGCCTGTCTCTGGCTCCGGGCAGGCCTTGCCCACTTCTCCCTGTGTGTGGGCAGCCGTCCGAGCCCAGGAATTGAGGGGGGTGGGAAGGGGCTTGGGCGGTGAGGTCCTGGCACAGGATGGACACCCGAGCCTCACACCTGGCAGCTCCCTCCCTGTCCCACGCAAGGGAGCTGAGCTCAATGTGTGGCCACAGGGAAGGCTCCCCACCCCCTCACTGACAGACCCTGCCCCCATGAATCATATTCAATCTTGATCACCGCACAGAGTAGAAACAGAGGCTCAGAGAGGGGGAGCCTCTGGCAGAGGCAGGACTAGAACCTAGGTCTCCACCTCTGCCTCTGGCAGGTTCATGATCAGGAAAGCCTGAGGGTCAAGGTGCCCCAGGACTCACTGTAGGTCGCTGCCACTGTGCTGCTGTGGAGGCTCCGGCCAGTGGGATGCCCTGGAAGGGGAGGGATTACACTGTGCAGCTGCAGCCTCGGGTCGGGAGACTGGGTCCCCCCACCGCCGCCCCGCCCCGCCCCCCGGGAAAGGCTCCCTTGGTCCTACCTGCACGTGCAGCCTGGGCCAGGGCCCGAAGCAGTGTTGGGGTAGTCAGGCAGCGCATCTGAAGGCATGGAAAGGGAGGGAGGCACGGGTGGGTCCCAGGCCTGTCCCCATAGGATCTCTGGCACAGCAGGAGCCCGGACCTCAGTGCCGCTGTGTCACCTGGTCTCCCACTTACCCCCATTCCCAACAGAGGCACAGAAGCCCTCCCTGCTCCCAAGAGCGGCACCTCCCAGCCCTGCAAACCTGACCCAGCTCAGCTGGGGCTAAGAGTTAGGAAGTACCTGTGGACCCCGTATCCTTTCTTTTTTTTTTTAATTTTTAAAAGATTTTATTTATTTGACAGAGAGACACAGTGAGAGAGGGAACACAAGCGGGGGAGAGGCAGGCAGAGGGAGAAGCAGTGGAGCAGGGACCCCGATGCGGGGCTCAATTCCATCAGGACCTGAGCCGAAGGCAGATGCTTAACGACTGAGCCACCCAGGCCCTCCCCGCCCCACCCCCCCGCCCCGTGTCCCATCTTATTTCACCTTTTAAGAAATGTTTAAAATCCATCCCTTCTCTGTCTCCCCCCTCCCCTGTTCATCCTCCCCGGATCTGACCCAAATAACACTGCCAGCAGTCACCAGGATTGAAAGCTCATGGTGTCAGGCACTGTGTTAGGGGGTCACACACAATGTCATCTGGTCCTTACAAGGACCCCACGAGAAGCACAGATGAGAAGCTGAAGCTCAGCCGTGTTAAGTGACTTGCCCAAAGTCACACACACTGGGGGGGTGTGGGACCAGTACGTGAACTCAGGCCAGACTCCTCCCTTTACACCCACATTCCGCCCCCCCTCCCCCGGGCCGGAAACCGTTTAAAGGCTCAATAACCCTCGGGATCACATTCTTTTCCCCACCATCAAATTCCTTCTGGAACGGTCTCCCCGCCTGCCAAGTGACCTTGGGCGGGTGAGGTCATCTTGCACGTTTTCTCATCTGTTATATGGGGGTCATGAGAGCGAAGGGGGTTGTACATGCCCAGAGCCTGCCATCTAGCCGAAGCTCAAGTGACCCTCCCGCGACAGATGATTTCCCGCGGGCCCCTCTCCTCTGACCGCTGACTCCAGCGCCAGCGCCCCGCAGCCTGACACCTTGCCGGACCTTCCCCATGACCTCCGACCCCACGGGCGCGGGCGGGGCATGCGCCTTGGCGGTGCCGGCTCCCGGGTCCGCCCGCTGCACGCTGAAGGACACCTGGACCGCCAGCCCGGAGCAGGCCGAGATGAAGCCCGGCCGCAGAGCCGGCGGGGCCGAGGAGAGCACCACACTCGCCCCCGACGCCGCACCGCCCAGGCCCGGCTTTTAACAGCTGAGCCCCAATACCTACCGTGAAGCGCTCTCGCTCCTTCCCTTGCTGAGCGGCCTGTCCGCCGAGAGGCGGAGCCTACACTGGGAGACGCTGCCATTGGGCCGGCTGGTTTCACCTTTTCCTCGCTCATCTTTTATGGTGTGGCTTGATTGGCCAGTGGCGCAGCTGAAAGAGGCGGGATCCAGAGCATCTTTCCTTTGATTGGCTAGGGGAGAGCCGACTCTCGGAGTTGCGCAGGGCGCCGCCATGTTGGATTGGAGAGGCCAATAAACGAGGACTCCCGCGCCACTGGAGGCGGGACGTTGGGGACGTGGCTTAGGAAGCAGCTCCGGGTCAGACCTGGAGCCCTGGGCCGGAGGAGAGGGGCTGGGTAGCTGCGGGGTATTTCTGATAACGGTGTAGAGAATTGTGGCCGGCGGTGATTCCGCGGGAACCGTGCCTGCTCGGTGCTAAACCTTTACCCAGAAGCCCTGTGTGGAGGATTATTCTCGCTTTCCTGATGGGGAAACTGAGGCACGGACTAGTTTAGGAACTTTGCCCAAGCGTTAGAGCTGCAAAGTGCGGCCGCCTGAGTCTCACCTGGATGTGTGTGACTCGTGATCCCTGTCCCTCAACAGCCCCCAAACTGTTTCCTCCCAGTGGATCGATTGTGTGGCAGAGGGACCCCGGAGGTTGCAGGCACGGAGAAGGCCCTTGGGGCCGCCTGTATGTTGGTGGTGGGCGGGGGAGTGGGAGGTGGTCTTGCAAGGCTTCTTGGCTGATGTGATGTCCAAGCTGACTTCGAGGAGGAATAGGGCAGGCCAAGGGCACGCATGCCCAGCGTGTGTGCCGAGGTCCTCTTGAGAAGGACGACAGGCCAGGTGTGCGGACACAGGGCTGTGGAGGAGCCCCGCCAAGGACTCTTGTGGGTCCTGGCTTGCGGGCCACAGGGAGCCACTGAAGGGTTCAGGCCGAGGGGTGGCATGGTCCAGTAGCTTTGGGAAGATCAGTGGTGCACTGAGGTCAGGCCTGTGGGGAAAGGGGAGGTGACAGATGGCCCTGGGCATGGTGACCAGTGTGTGGATTGGCAAGTTCTGCAGCATTATAGGACCATCAGGACTTGCTCAAAGATGGCACTTGGGAGGTAAGAACGGGGTGTTGAGCCGGGGGCCCCAGGGGTTTAGTTTGGTGGCGGAGTGGATGAGGGACCATTCCATGGCATCAGGGCCCAGGAGGATGAGCAAGACAGGGAAGAGGGTGAGTCTGGTGTAGGACATGGTGAGGGGAAGGCACCCAGGGCCAGCCACTGGGGGGGGGGGGGGGGGGGAATGTGCCCAGAGCTCCTGAGAGGCCTGAGAGGGGACAGACTGGCCCCACCCAAAGGAGGAGACAGGATGCCTGAAGCCTGGGATCCACAGCTCATTTATTATTGAACTCCAAAATTTAATCCTCACAGTGATCTCTGGAGGTGCTGATTGTTATCACCTCCCCTGTACAGATAGGGAAACAAACTCAGGGAGGGCAGGGATTTCTGCCCAGGGCCTAGGCCGCTGCAGGTCCGTGGTGTGACCTGGACCAGATGCCAGGGCCCCTTCTGCATCCTCCACGGGAAGGGGGGTGGCTCAGAGGTGTCCACACCACATCTCCTGGCCTCTCCCAGGACTCGAGTGGCTAGTGTGGGGGCAGGGAAGCAGGTTACCGCATTGTTTCCCATGCTCCCTTGCCTTGGCCTGTCCTAGTTGGGGGGCAGTTGAGGGAGGAGGAGGCTGAGGGCTCACAGAGAGAAGCCCCAGGGGGGACGAGGGCAGGCACTGGTCTGGGCTGTGGTCTTTTCCTCCTTGGGTGTGAGCCTCAGGCACATCTGCACTGGCTGCAGGTGGCAGGGGCAGCAGACTCACAGGTGTGAGCCAGGCTCAGAGCAGGGTGCAGCTGCAGCTGCGGGCCTCCATGGCCACCAGCAGCATCCTCAGGTTTCGAGGCGAGTAGGGCGGGTAGCGGAGGGAGTAGATCTTCTCTAGCCCGGGCCGGCGCAGCAGGCAGGCACGGTGATGGGAGAAGGTGTCGAAGGAGAACTTGCCGTGGTAGCTGCCCATCCCACTGGCACCTGTACGGTGGCATGGGACACGGCAGTCAGCCCCGCGGCAGCCAGCTGGGAGCATGTCGGACACACCTGGGCTCTGCCAGTCACACACAGTAGGACCTCAGTTTCCCCGTCTGTAAAATGGACTACTCACAAGGCAATGTAGGTAAAGGGCTTAGCTCTGAGCCTGGCACCAGCAACAACTCGGTAAATGTCGGCGACATCAGGTGCTGGGGCAAGACAGGTCAAGAGCGTGGATTCTGGAATGACTGCTCAGAATTGAATCCCAGCCCTGAATTAAATCTGTCACCTTGGGCAGTTGACTTCGCCTTGGTCTTCTCTGTGACCTCAGACGACAATGGCACCCACCTCCTAGAGCTGTGGGCTTTGGGTGGGTGTTCAGACCCATGGACACAGTAAGTGCTATGTTGAGTCCAAAGTGTTTAGGTAGGGAGGCCGTCGAGCACCAGGCTTCGGCACTGCAAGTCCAGGGGACCCACGAAGGGTGGAGTTGTGGGTAATGAAGGAGGGCTTCCTGGAGGGAGTGAGGCCTGAGGGATGTAGAGCTGACCAGAGGAAGAGGGTGGGTGGGGGCAAGAGGGACCCAGGCTTGGGGACAACTCGGAGAGCCTTGGAGGTGGGGGACCTGTGGCGTGCAGGGACCTGGCCGGGCCCAGTGTGGCTGGGGCAGCAGGGAGGGAGGCAGGGAGAGGCGGTGGACACCATGGGCCAGACCAGAAAGGGCTGGGCCCCAGGAAGCTGTGAGTCAGGGCCTTGCTCAATCCTGTGGGGAGTAGCAGGATGGGGTCTGCCCCCAGACAGAGCGCCGCACTTCCCTGGAGTAGAGGGGCCGGGACTGGAGACGGGCAGTCAGGTGGGCAAGGTCGGGGCTCCGGGACAGGCGCCAGCAGTGGGACCCGGTCCCGGGGGCCCACACAGCCTCCACGTCTGCTCTCAGCTTGCCATGTACCCCTGTGGCATCGGCTGCTCCCAGCGAGCGTCCAGACCCAGCCGGACAATTTGCCGGGCCCTGCCGGACCCTGGCTAAGGTGCCTAGTGTGGACAGGTGCCAGTCTGGCTCTCCCATGCCGCTAAGGAGGCGACAGGATCAGAGAGGGACCTGGCTTCCCCAGATCACACAGCCATTGGGCTTGCTGGGACCAGCCCCGAGGTTTCCTGCCTCGGAGGCCAGGACTTGGCACCAGTCATGGGGGCTGCTGGGGCCGGGGGTCTCCATTCCCCCAGGCTGGGAACAGCCCCTGTCTCTGGGGAAGGGGGGCTGTGTGTGTGACACACCAAGTGCTGGACTGAGGGGACACAGGAAGCGTTCAAGGGGCAGTTCGTAGCCTCCCAGTGGAGTAAAGGGAGCACGTGAGGCCACCCCGTGTGAGCTGGTGGGCAGACTCGAAGCCGTGCCTTTGATGAGAAAATCAGTGACGGCCCAGGGACCGGGAACACAGTGGTGCCAAGAACCCCAAATGGTGTCCCCGTGGGTCCACCTCCACATGTACATGCAGGGACAGGTCTGGAAGGTTTCTGCAGGATGGAGGTGTTGGGGTGCCCTCCGTCCAGTAACAGCGAGAGAAGGCGGGGTTCTGCGGGCACCTACCCACTCCTCCAAAAGGCAGGCTGGCGAGGGTCATGTGCATGAAACCGTCGTTCCCGCAGAAGCCCCCGCTGCTGGTCTGGGCCAGTACTCGCTTGACCACCTGGGGGCGGGGAGAGGAGCAGCTATGAGGCCTTGTGGCTGGGCAGCAGGAGGCCAGCCAGCCACCCCCGCAGGGCCCCAGGAAGAGTCTGGCCACCCTGGGAGCTGCAGGGCTGCTGTCACAGGTGGGGGTGTGGTTGTGTAGCAGCCTGCCACTGAGCCCCCAAGTCGGGACGTGTTTCCTGAGCAGCGGCTCGAGTGTGGCCCGTGCAGGGTGCTGGGGACACAGACGCAGGGCCAAGAGGGAGGCAGGAAGCCCAGCGGTCGCCTGGGGGCCTGGAGAGTTCAGGGTGAAATGCCAGGTAGTCAGGGAAGCGTCCCAAGGGAGGGATGTGATGTGCCTGCTGCCTCTCAGGGGAAAGGGGGCCCCCCAGGCAGAGTGAAGGGCAGGTGCAGAGACCCAGGTGTGCGGCACAGGGAGGGCCTTTAGATGCGGTGATGTAGCCAGATTTGCATTTTAGAAACATGAATGTGGCCCTTGCTTGACTTAAAGAAGACCTTTTCTCTTTAACCTATAGGTTTACTGGAAGAATGAGAAGGGGAAAAGATTAGTAAACACTCTGTATCATTGCCAGAAAACTCGGCTGTATTTAGCTATGCCATGTGATCCTGAACTAACGGCTTGTCTGCATGGTGGGAAGAGGGAACCGCCCCGTGAGGGGGCTCAGAAATCACGGGGAGGCCAACAATAACAGCGACAGAAGAGGGAGCAGGAGGGTCGCAGTGTTTCTTGGGGGCAGCCGTGGGTCATAGGTGTGACTTTGTGTACCTCCGGGCCAGTCAGTGCTGGGCATTCAGAAAAGCTTGGAAGTCACAATGCCAGATGACTCCCTTCCGAAAAACCCCGGGGTTGTAAAGTTTCTACGGTTAGTATTATCCAGATAGAGCAAAGGCTCCTTGCAGGAATGGCTGACTCTAGGGCTGAGCAAGGGCAACACAGGATGAGCCGAAGCATCTCGTGGACCGTGAAAGGAAGTGGTTGGAAAACAAAAGGGGGGGGGGTTGCTGAGGGACACAGCAGCCCCCAATGCCCAAAGAGGGACAACCTGAGAAGGACACAAGGTGGTGTTGCACTGTAAGGCGGAGAATAAAGCAGATGCATACGAGTCCATGCTGATAGAAGTGATTCAGGAGCCAAAACTTTCTTACAGATTCTGGGGGACGTAAGTAGGTGTCCCCCTTCAGCAGGTGGCGCTCAATCACACCCCTTCCGCGGAGCCACTTGCTCCCAAAGAAGAGGAAGGTCTGGTGGTGGAAACACCGAGCAGACAGGACCTTGGCCTCCCCAGTGATGTGTGGCTCTCGATCCCTGATAGGAGGGCAGAGGCCAGCCCTCGCCTCCATGGTGTTCTTTCATGAGACAAATAGCAGAGCACTGAGGTTGGGGACATGCTGCAAGGGACCTGGTCAGCACCTCCCAAGCTGAGAGGTAGTCACGGACCGGAGGAGCCATGACAACTAAATGCAATGTGGGGCCCTAGCTGGGCTCTTGGGGCTGAAAGAAAAGCGTGAAATCCAAGTCAAATTTGGAGTGTCGTTAACGGTAATGGACCAACCACCGTCTCTTAGTTTTGACGAACATAAGGGCCCTTAAATGGGGGAAACTGGTAGCGGGTTATATTGGGACTCCCTGGACTACTTTGTCTTCTGTAAAGCTAAAATTATTCCAAAATAAAAAGTTCATTAAAAACATACTGCCCAGGCACCTGGGTGGCACAGTCAGTTAAGCATCTGCCTTCGGCTCAGGTCATGATCTCAGGATCCTGGGATCGAGTCTTGCATCGAGTCCTGCATGGTGCTCCCTGCTCAGCGGGGAGTCTGCTTCTCCCTCTCCCTCTGCCCCTACCCCTTGCTCATGCTCTCTCTCTCTCTCTTCAAATAAATAAATAAAATCTTTTAAGAAAACCACACTGTCCAATCTGCGAGGGATCTCATAACAGCCGGGTGAGAGAGGAGGGTATGTCCTGAGCTGTGGACGCCTGCCCTGTGCCCTTTGAGGCTCCCGGGATGCCCCCAGGGGCTGAGCAGGGCAGGGGGCTGGGGTTCAGTGTCCCTGCATGTTCTGGCCCTTCGCTCTCCCCTAGTCATTCCAGTCCATTCTGTGTGTGCCTTCTATGAGCCAGGCACCGGAAGGGGGCACGTATGACCACCAGCCAATGATGAGGAAGACGGGGGGGGGGGTGCTTATGGAGCAGGGACACTGAACCCTGGAGAAGACCTGGGGGGAGCTGCCCACTAATGGCCTAAGAGACTGCGGCTTAGGTTGGAGGAGAGGAGGCCCGGCTGCCCCAGGGAGAAATGACAGTGACAGACCCAAGAGTGACACCATCCAGAACTCCTGTGACTGTTCCAGAAAAGCAGGACCCCAAACCGTCCCTCCAGGGCTCTTGGTCCATTCCAGTCCTGGAGCCACCTACCCTTCTGCTGTCACCACCCCACCGTCCACTACTGGCCCCTGCCCCCACCTCTGTCCAGCCCCCACTCAGCTCTGCCTGAGTATCCCCCCCCACACACACACCTGATTGCTGTTGGAGAAGGCATACAGGGCCAGGGGCTTCTCCCGACGGTTGATGAAGTCGATGGCCTCGTCCAGGCTCCTCACGTTCACGATGGGCAGGATGGGGCCGAAGATCTCCTCCTGCATCACCGGCTCGGTCTCCTGCACGTCCACCAGCACCGTGGGGGCTGCGGGCACAGGGGACGGCTCAGCCCGGGGGCCGGGCAGGGGAGGGGGGGCACGGGCAGGGCTCCGGGGCCTTCTGGGGAAGGGAGCATCCCCGCAGCCCCCGGGAAGGCCGGCGAGGGGTGCTCCAGCCCCGGCGGGGGCCGAGGTGGAGCGGAGGTCAGGGAGGCAGGGGCCCAGGCTGGGCTCGGTGGGCCAGCTCTGGGAGCCTCGGGGGCGGGGCGCCGCGGGGGCGGGGCGCCAGGCTCGAGGCCCAGGCGGGACCCGCGTCCCGGAAGGGCCTTGGCAGGGCGGCCACGGTGGCGGCAGGGCGGACTCGCCGATGTAGCGGTCGCTCTCGTCGCTCTGGCCGCCGATGACCACGCGGCCACAGCCCAGCAGGCCCCGGAGCCGCCGGAAGTGCTTCTCGCTGATGATGCGGCCCAGGCTCGGGGAGCTCCGGGGGTCCTCGCCGTAGAAGCGGGTGATGGCCCTCTGCAGGGCGGGCAGCAGCCGCTCCTGCGTGTCCGGGCTGCACAGGACGTAGTCGGGGGCCACGCAGGTCTGGCCGCTGTTGAAGTAGCGGAACCAGGCCACGCGGTTGGCCACGGTCTGGGGGTCGCAGTCGTCGTCCACGTAGCAGGGGTTCTTGCCCCCCAGCTCCAGCGTGACGGGTGTCAGGTGCTTGGCGGCGGCAGCCATGACGATCCTGCCCACTCGGGGGTTCCCTGGTCGTGGAAAGAAACCAGGGTGACCCGCAGTCCCCTCAGCCAGGTGGGATGGCCTCAGCCTGGGGGCTGGGACCCTTCGAGAGGGGTTCACTCCCTGACCTGTCCTCCCTGGAGAGGTGGTGGAAGTGGAGGGTGCCAGCCCCCCCGGCTCTCCCCTGCCAGTCCCTGCACCAGGACCTTGCTCACGGCCTCAGCCAGACCAGCTCAACAATGCAGGGTCTATGTAGGGGTCTGTACCCTGCAGCAAGCCAGGCCCTTGGCTCCCTCTCCTGACCTGCCTTGTTGGAAATCCAGGAACCCCTTGCCTTGCTTCTGATCTCAGGCTCCCCCTGCCAGTGACTCTTGCTGGCATGTCACTCTGCACCCCTCCCCACCTCTCCAGTCTTCTCTAGAATTGGCAGAGACTGCTCTGGTCCAAGGCCAGAGTCCAGCGCCAGGTGCTGCCATTTGGGTCTCTCTCTCTGACCTAACCTGCCAGCCCCGCCACCCTCGCCACCCACCCTTCCCTCTGCTCCTGACCCTTGGCTCAAGTGGCCACCTACTTGTCTCCATCTCTCCTCTGTGTTCATCTCCAGAGTCTCACAGTACCCCCCCATCCCCCTCCCCGACCTAAAGTCCCCTGACCTCAAGATGTTCCTGCCCATGCCTGGCCCAGGGTCCCTTGCTGCCATTTCTACTGGGATGGCCCTCTCTGGCCACCACTGCCTGGGCGCCTGATGTCCCTGCTTTCACTTCCTCCAGCTTCCCTGCCTTTCCCCCGGCCCACCCCGCTCCAGGCCCACCCACGTTCCATCACCTGTTCACTCCTCCCTCAGGTCCTGCTGTCTTTCAGAAACATCTCCTTGTCTGTGAGGCCCCCCCTTGTCTGTTGAATCCTGCTGTGCTTCCCTGCCTGAGTCCCTTCCAAGGGCCCCATCATTCCCATGCTATTCTTCACTCTCTGTCCCCTGTCCCCCTGTTATAATGTGAGCTCCTCTGGGGTGGGAGGCTTTGTCCCCTTAGCCCTCGCTTCATCCAAGGCTTGGACAGTGTCTGGACAGGGCACGTTCTCTCAGAAAACAGTGAGCGAGTGAGTGGATGCTTCCCCAGGCCGCAGGCTGTGACAAAGGCTTCCACGAGTTCACATACCTCAAGACAGACCTGGACTGTCATCAGATAAGGACAAGCCTGGAGAGTCAGGAGCTTCTCGCAGCGTCTGCGCAGGCTGCCCAGGTTCCTGGCCCCAGTCATGGGGGGGTCAAGACCCAAAGCCCGCGGATCTGCCGGGTGGGATGGTGGAAGGTGGGCCGCCCCTCCCCATGTCTCCTCCTGCTCCTCCAGCCACTAGGAATCTGTGAGACCAGCTGAGGACTCTGCCCCCTGCTTCTACAGCGGGCTCCCTGTCAGCCAAGCTGAGGGCCCATGGGCCCTGTCCTGAGCTTGTGGCAGGGTTTCGGGGGGAGAAAGGCAGAGACAGCACTCCCCCTGCTCTGATGTGGACAAGGTGCGCAAGGCATGAGGCCAGGGAGCAGGAAGGCTCAGAAGCTGCTGTCTGCCCTTGTCTGCTTTCTCTCTCCTCCAGAACCTCAGCCAGGTAACACGGCTCCCTGCCTCCCCGGCTCTTTCACCCTTATAGAAACTCCCTCCTGAAGCCAGGTGGTGTCTGGACCTCATGGGCACAAGCCAGGGAGATGGCAGATGATCTCGGAGAAAACTTCTAACTAAGGGCCTGGGAGGAAAATCCAGCCTTCCCCCATCCTGGTCCCTGGGGTGACCCCAGCTGGGTGCCGTGGCTCTTTGTTACCTTGGCCTCCAAGCCCTCATCTGTCCAGCCCTCCACAAGGGCCCTGGGTCAGTGGGCTCATGTCTAAGGTCCTGAGGCCAGTGGGTGGCATATAAGGTCCCAGGGGCACCTGGCACAAGGGGAGCTTGGCACGGGCAGATGCTGTGATCCGTGAGACTGTGACCAGTGGAGGGGCCTCCGGAGGGAGGGTCCTAGGGGTCAGGGTTGCTCCCCAGTGTGCTCTAGGAGCATCGAGCAAGCTTGTCCTGGAGCTGGTCTGCTTCCTTCCTGGCTGTCTGTGTGCCTGGGTCCCTGTGGCCTCTCCCAGGGCTGGGGACAAGACCCCTGAAGGGGTGGCTGGGCTCCACCAGCCCCCATGCTGAGCCCCCCAAGCCCCGCCCGCAACGGGTACCCTGGCCTTACCCGTGAAGAAGATGTAGTCAAACTTGTGCTCCAGCAGCTGCCCGGTCTCCTGGGGCCCTCCCAGCACCACGGCAAAGCAGCTCTGCAAAATAGGGTGGCAGACGGTTCCCTCTGGGACCCCAGCCTGGGGAACGCAGGGGGCTGCCGCGTGGGTCTGCCCCCCAGTTGCCTGGCCTGACCCACAGTTTCCGGGGCTCTAGATGAACCAGATGGGAGCAAGGTGGGAGCAGGGAGCTGCCCAGTGTCCCAAAAGGCACGAGGTTAGAGCCTGGCTGGGGCTAGCAGGGAGAGGAGGCCAGGGCGGGGTGGTCAGGGCTGACCAGAAGACAGATGGGAGTCCCCAGGGACACACTCCTCAGAGCACAGCTGTGATCACTGCTCCTCTGTTTCACTCAGAGGGAAAGAGTCTGAGGGGGCAGCGACCCCACCATGGCTGCACGATCCAGACGAGGCAGGATGGAGGTTGGAACTTGGGTCCTGCCCGAGGGAGCCTGCCTGGTCCTGCTGAGCCCAAGGGGGCCTGACTGGTCCTGCTGAGCCCAAGTGTAGCTGCTCGGCCCACTCCGTGCCCTGCTCACCTGGTCCAGGTATCGGGGCAGCACCTCAGCCAGGATCTTCTCGGTGCTCCTGCTGAACTCCGATGGCTTCAGCACCACGCAGTTCCCTGCAGGGCAGGGCAGGGCAGGGCAGGGGGAGCGCTGGGAGAGGGGTGGCTCCTCTCATCTCCATTCAGTCCTTACACCTGCGGGGCGGGTGCCTGGCCCACTCTGCTCTCAGGTGAAGAATCTGGCTCAGAGACTGACAGGACCAAGGCCCCACTGCCCAGGGATGGTGGGCCAGGCGGGAACCAGCTTTTCTTAGCCACTCGTCGCCAGCTCCCCACTCCCTGGCTCTGTGGGCTACCATGAGGCCTGAGGACAGGGACAGCGGGCAGAAGTGGATGGAAACTGCTCTCACCTGCAGCGAGGGCACCCACCAGGGGCACCAAGGTCAAGTTCACAGGGTAGTTCCAGGGGGCAATGATGAGCACCAGGCCGAAGGGCTCCTTCCGGATGAAGGCCGAGTCCAGCTGTGTGGCCTGGGCCCCGGGGCCAGCGTGGTGGTGAGGGGTGGGGCCTTGAGACTCCCAGCCCCTCCGCGCCACCCTCCAGCTGGCAAGGCTGCCCGCGTGCCCTCACCCCCCAGGCCAGCTCACCAGATTCTTGGGCACTTTCTCATCCTTCATCCAGGCCCTCAGATTCCTGAGGGCCAAGTCAATCTCCATCTGGCTGATTCTGATCTCAGACACCTCTGCCTCGAAGGCTGACTGCAGGGGAGAGACAGGGGCAGGGCTCGGGCTGGGGGACCCCGGTCGGCAGGTGGCCTCTCACTTGCTCCTTCATTCATTCACTCTGGGTTCAGCGAGTGCTTCCAGCCCTCAGGAGCCCTTCCTGTGCCAGAAACGCAGCAGCGACCGAGAGCGTGGAAAGCCTGCTCCGCAGAGCTCACGTCGTAGGGGGACAGCCGCCATGATGCTGAGAACACGGACGTGACCAGAGCAATGGAAGTGAAACAGGGGGAGGGGGACAGAGACTGCTGGAGTGTGTGTATGTGTGTGTGTGTGCGCGCGCGTGTGTGCACGTGCGTGGGTGTGTGTTGGGGGGCTGTGCACGAGCGTGCGCATGTGAGTGCAGGAGCATGCATCAGCGCATGAGGGTGCGCCTCTGTGTGCATGTGTGTGTGTCTGCTTTGCTTTCTACAAGATTATCAGTGCTGGCCTCTGGGATGAAGTGACATCTGAGCAGGGAGGATCGGGAAGGAGGGAGCCGACGGATACCTGGAGGCAGAATATTCCAGACAAAGGGCATAGTGTGTGCAAAGACTCTGAGGTGGGCAAAGGCTTGCTATGTTCCTGGTTAGCAAGGAGCAGAGCGGGTAAGGTGATGGCACCAGGCAGCAGGGCTGAGGACTGTCGAGGAGAGCACCCTGGTTTCATAAATGGGAAAACAGATGATTCCAGAAACGGCTGACAAGGAAGCCTGGGCCTCACCTGGCTACAGTCCCGGGGCATCATGGTTAAGAGCAGGTTTGGAGACGCCAAGAAAGGGAGCAGGCATCCACAGGAAGCCAAGCCTCAAGATAAGTCCTTGTAGCCATACTTTGCTGTCCCCAAGGGATGACCCTGGGTGCCGTGAGGCACGAGTCTCAAAGTCTGTGACTGTTCTGGGGACAGGGCGGACACTTGGCAGCGTGCCTGTGAGTCTGGAGGGTCCCGAGGAAGCTACTGAGGGCCCCCTGGCTTTGCTGGCCCTGGGGTCTCCATCATGACGTGGGTGGAGCCAGGAGGCCCGCCGGAAGGGTGGGAAAGGAGCCACGGGCCCGGCCCTGAGGCGTTACAGGTGTTCAGGGGCTGGTGGAACACAGGGGGTGGGTCTGGACACTGTGGCCTTAGTGGCAAGTGCAAGGACATTTTGTCCTGAGAAGATCCGCCTGGACAGCTGTTCTGGGGCGGGAGTAGTCAAGCAGGAGGCCCTGTCGGCTGAGGGGGCGGGAGGCTGCCCACAAGCAAATGCATTGCCGTAGCTGCTGTGGGAATTGGGAGGAGCCGAGCCCTCAGGCCCGCGGGTTTGGAGAGAGGCCAATGACGCCCACCTTTCTGAGTGAAACTGAACTCCTCCATGGCCCACAAGGCGATACATGGTGTGACCTGCCCCCCTGGACCTCATCTTTTGCACATCTTGGCGTCTGTCACTCCCCTCCAGGTATGCCGGCCTCTTTGCTGCTCCTCAAGCACAAAGGCCTCCTGCCTCAGGGCCTTTGCACATGCTGTGCCCACTGCCATTTCCTCCAGTGTTCTCCCTCCTGCAGGTCTCTGCTCAAATGCCATCTCCTCAGAGAAACTGCCCCTGACTCCCACATATACAACAGCGTCCTGCACCGGGTCCTCCCTCTTGCCCTTTTCACACTGGGAATGTCTCTCCCTGGCACTTGAAACCATCCAACATGCTATACAATTAGTTCTTTATTGTTTTGTGCCTCTCTCTAGAAGGCCAGCTCCTGGGCACGGGGACTTTGTTTTACTTTCTGTTGGATCCCCAGAGCCTAGAACAGGAGACCCGGCACATGGTAGGTGCTCAGTAAAACGTTGCTGAGTGGATGAGAAATGCGTGGATGGACATGTGCAGCAGAGGAGGTGAAGAGGCGGTCAGGGCACAGGGAAGGGGGGGTGGTTTGCCAGGCGCTTAGTCCCCCCTCAGGGAGGAAGCTGCGGCCCCCACCCAGCATGCCCCCCGCCCTCGCCTCCCCAGCCCCCAGCCCTGCCCTCCTCCCACCCACCTTGTGCAGGTCCTGCAACAGCGCCTCCTGCAGAAGCTGCTTGTTGTCCCGCAGGAAGCGGCCCAGGCCCTTGAGCTGCGCCGCCCGGAACTCAGCTGGCCTCGTCCGCCCTGAGCCGAAGGCCTCCCGCAGCCGCCGCAGGGTGTCCGCGAAGGGGTCCATCCTGCAGGGAGGGGGCAGCGTGGGCCGGGGCTCTCCACCTTCATGGGCATTCTCCCCCGCGCCCCTGGCTGTACCGCTGTGGGCTCACGGACACTTCTACAAGGACTCGCGTGTAACCCCAGAGTGCCGGGGCTGCACCCCGTGCACACACGTACACACACACACACACACTCATACACAGGGTCCCTTCCCCTTGGCCAGTGGGCAGGAGAGCCCTGGAGTTTGAGGTGGGTGCAGGACAGTGCGGGGGGCTTGGGAGCAACTACTCTGCAGGCAGCCATGGGACCTCCCTTCTCCCTGCCACACAGAAATGAGCCCCAAGCCATGCCCCCATCCCACTCTGGTGGCCCTCCTGGAGATGGGGCAGCCCTCATCCTTGCCAGGCCTGCGTGGAATAACCAGGAAGACATGATAAGTAGAGGACAGTCCACTCACAGCCACCATGGCTACCACTGTGGGACAATCCAGGCACAGAATACACTGTGTCTCCTGCCCGTCTCCCGGGGGCACTGCCTGGGGAGGCCCAGCTGGCCGGCGGTGGCTCAGGGGGTCGGGTGACCTGGGCAGTGGCCTTCGCGGTCTCTGCCCCTGTCAGCAGCCCCAGCGTTGGAGGAGTAGTGGGGGACGGGGGCCGAGGGGGCAGTATGCCTCCACACTGTCAGCAGCCAGGGCAGGAGATCTGGGTGCGGCCCCCACATTCCCCCGGGCCCCTGCCTGTTTACGTGAAGCTCATCAGAGGAGCAGGGTGATGTACTCGCTTCTTGGCCTGGTGCCAAGGACCCGTGGGGACCCTTTCCTCCTGCCCTCTCAGACTCCCTTCCCTTCAGGTCTCAGCTTGGTGAACGCCTCCTCTAGGCAGCCCGCCCTGATTATTCCTTCACACGGGGAGTGGCTTTCATCCTCTGTCCCACTGGCCCCTCTTTGCCTAACTACCTGATTTAGGTCTTAGTGCTTCGATCTCCTTATCTGGCAGGGGGTAACAATAGTGCCCACCAGCTGACATGCTGTTTTTCAAAGATGAGACCATGCTGTCCAGCTCTGAGCCCAGGGCTGGGCGTCAGCACGGCCAAGGCTGCCAGTTGTTAAGTGGCTACCCCACAGCCCTCAGAATTCTGGAGTGATCCATGGCCCTGAGAGCTGAGCCTGCTCCAGTCGATAGGATGGCCCGGCCCGAAGGGCACTCTGTGTTGGCTGGAGCTCTGGGCATGATGGGGGGCCAGGCTGACCCCACAGGCCTCCTGCTCTGGTCTGGAGAAACTGAGCAGTTGCCTGGGGGCACAAGGCAGGCCCCATGGGCCCCAGAGAGGGTGCCAGTGTAGCAGAAAGGGGACATTCTCAGAGCCCCTCTGGGCCCCAGCCTTGCCCCAGACCCCACTCTCCTTCTTGGAGGAAGGGGTGCTGGTCAGTGCCGAGGCCCAGGAGCCAAGAGCCCTACCAGCCTCCAGAGCTACCATCTGGGCTTGTCCCCCTGCTCGGCCTCCTACTGGCCTTATGACCTTGGGCAGGTCACTCATCTCTCTGCCTCAATTTCCTTGTCTGTAAAGTGAGGATAATAATAGCACTTGCCATCGTCTCGACGAGTAAATGACATAAGGCCCCCTAAAGTGTTGGCCACTGCGCACATGATATGGGGCTCGAGAAAGGTCAGCTGTGGTTGTGATCACTAAGTACCTAACAAGTGTTTCTTCCTCCCCACCCGCCGCCACTCCTTGTTCTGTCTTGCGGGCACCTCCGGACCCCTGCTGATGGATGTGGAGGGCAAAGCGCACCCACCTCACCTGCCCCCCCAGGGTTCTTTGCCTTTTCATAAGAAATGTCTGCAGAACCCACAAAAATGCAAGGCACGTAACTGGAATGGCACACCTCTGGGCGAGGGAGGGGTGGGGAAATCTGTGGGGGTGCAGGTCCGGACAGAACATTCCAGCAGCCTCGCCTAGCAACACTGAGGCCAACTCACCCCATATAGCCCCCCCCCAGGTTGGTCACTCTGGACTGAGGGACAAAGGGGTGCCCTGTTACGGGATCGGAAGCTGGGCACTGCCCAGGTGTACCCAGGAGCCCAGGCCACTTCCTGCCTGGGGTCTGGAGGGGGGGCGGCTGGGCCTGTGACCTCGCGAAGGACACACAGATGAGGGGCTTCTGGGATGGGCCTGCGCTGGGGTCTTTGAGCCCACCTCCACCCCCCAACCCCGCGCCCCTGGGGTACATATGATACTGTGGAAGCTCGTAAGGGTGTTAAGTGACATTTCCTGTGCCTGCATGACTCATTTGACCACCACGACAGCCTGCCGAGGGCACTGTCTTGTCCCCTGCAAGGAGAGGGACTACCTCGGCACAGAGAGGGCAAGGAGGTGGCTCAAGACCACCCAGCTTCTCTACACTGGAAACCGGGATGCAGAGGAATCCGGAGGAACAGAGGGCTGCCCACCTCCACTGTTCATCCCCCTACGTGGCAGCCTGACCCCTGGGGAGAGGGGACACCTTGGGGGCTGGCCTGAACTGCAGATGCAGGGCCCGTGGGCAGGGGCGTGGGGCTGGACTCGGGCGGTGCCCTCAAGGGTGAGAAGACACACTGGTTGTACCCCACTCTCTGCATCTGTCTCCCATCAGTCCCCACCCTGCTTCCCCTTGTGGCCTCCTTGGGTGAGTGCTGAGGTCCCAGGGGCTGGCGGGCCCAGGGGTCCCCCGCCCGCTAAGGGGGCCCCAGCTTCAACTACCTGCCGCGCCGCATCTGTTCCTGACTTGCGGCTCTTGGGTGAGGTGGGTGGGGTGGGAGTTGCTACGTCAGTTGATCATGATGACAAGGGACAGGCCTGTTTCCCTTGGTTTGGAGGCTAGGGGAGGACATGCCACATCCCCTCAAGGCCCTGGGCCTGGGGACTCCTCTAATCATCGTAATGAGCAGGTGTTGCCCGCATGTTCCTGCCTGGGTGCCTGACGTGGCACAGTGTGGGTGTCTGCACGGCGCCCCTGGGGGAAGCTGAGGCCCAAAGAGGTCGCATGGCGTCAGGTAGGGGGTGAGTAAGCTGGGTACGCAGGTCTGCTGGCTCCAAAGCATCACTGGGAATCTGCTGCCCCGACCCCAGCCCTGCACAGTGGCCAGGCCTGCTGATGAGCTCTCCATGGCGCAGGACTCCCTGCCTTCTCCTCACCCAGCCTCCGCACACTCTGTCATTCTCTCTGTCTCGGCTTCCTGAGCTGTCCTGGACGCCTCCTGAGGGAAAACCCCCCCCTTTTTTTTAAAGTAGGCTCCATACCCAGTGTGGAGCCCAATGTGGGGTTTGAACTCACAACCTTGAGATCAGGACTCGAGCTGAGATCGAGAGTTGGATGCTCAACCGACTGAGCCACCCAGGCGCCTCCCTAAGAGCACGCCTTTGGTATGGTGTCAGGGCCCGGTGATCTGGGGTCGAATCCCGGCAGCCCTGTTTGTGAGCTGGGAGTCCTCGGGCAGGTTGCTCGGCTCCTCTGTGGCTCACCTTCCCCATCCGTGAAATGGGGATAGTACCTGAAGCCGCCCCATGGCACTGCTGGGAGAATTCATGCATGCAGTGTTCTGTGCAGGGCCGAGCCCTCTGAGTGCTCAGTGACAATGGCTCTGACGAGCATTATTCAGACAGACTATGAAGGACAGCTGTGCCGAGGGGGCTCCAGGGAGGAGACCCTGGGGTAGAGCCCAAGGAGACCTCGGCCCAGTGTGGGCACCAGGGAGGCAAGGACATCAACCAGAGACCCACGTGGGGGCAGGGATATGTAGCTGGCCAGGGTGACAGAGATAGACATGGTGCTCTGAGGGTCTGGGGGACCCCAATCAGGCTTGCCAGAGGAGGAGGTCACAGGGCCACCTTGATGACCCCACAGGTCCTGATACCCCAGGGTCTCCAATCTGATCTCCCCCTGGAGCCTGAACCTGGCTTTTCATGGGCTCTCCAGAAGCTCTGGCAGAGTCCCCTCCCTACAATGGGGGCTGGAGGAACTAGGAATCAACCCTTGGCCTGTGGGCTGAGCCAACGCCAGCCCACCCTACAGAGAGCTCCCCTGAAGCCGGCCCAGTCCCTCTGATGATCAGTCCCTCCTCCAGGCAGGGCAGAGTCTGGCTAGTCCCTCCTTCCCAGGCCCCGGCAGAGCCTGCTCCCAAGAATGGGATGTCCCAGAGTCACTGGGTACCCCGGCCCCAGCACCGGGCTCGCCTGGCAGTGCCCAGAAACTGTGTGTTACCAGATGGATGCTTGTCCCACCCCCACCCCCACCCCCCAGGGACGGGGGCGCATTCCCTCCTGGGGCAGCCAGGCCCAGAGCTGGGGCTCCCAGCTCTGGAAAAGATGTGCTATAGCCCCAGTGAAAGGAAAGCGTTGGCCCAGCTCAGACAAAATGAGGGTGGCTGTCGGCCACCAGCCTCAGGAGCCCCCTGAGCCTCTCCTCAGGCCCTCCCTCTCCGGCTCTTAGGTCCGGGCAGAGGGAAGTTCCTTCCTCCTTCCCCTTTCTTCCCAGGCGGGCAGAGGAGCTCCGCAAAGACAAAGCCAGCCTGTGTGTGTGGCCGCCAGGGGCCAGGCCTGTCCAGGCAGCCAGCAGCCTGGTGTCCCCGAGCCAGCCCACCAGCCAGGTCCCGGGCCCTGACAGCCAGCTGCTCTATCCCCACCTCCCTGGGACAGCGTACCTGAGGCCCCGCCAAGCTGCCCTTCCTCCTGGCCGTCCCTGCTCTGCCCTGCCGCCCTGTCGTTAACAGTCGTCATGAAATGTCTGAGGCTGGGCGGGGCCCCTGGGGCGGGGCTGCCCTGGCCTCGTGCCTGACCTTGGCTCTGGGCCAGCTGGAAGCTGCAGACAGAGACTTATTACCCCTCTTAAGGGCCTCTCCTGCACCACGGAGAAGGAGCCAGGGCCCAGAGAAGGCCAGCACGAGTCCAGGGCCACACAGCAGGTCTTCAGGGAGCTCTGAGCTGAGGGGTCCAGACCAAGGTCTCACCAGACCCAGGCCCAGCTGGAGAAGGAGGAGAGCCCTGGGAATTATGGTGTGGGGTGGGGTCTGGTAGCCTAGAATAGCAGAGAAAGCCCCTGCCCGCAGCCCCCGCCCCCCGCCCCCGTGAGCCTCTGTTTTCCGGGTGCAAAATGAAGAGATCAGATCCAAAGATGGCTGGACGCCCACTGACCCCTCTGTTCCCTAGCTCTCCCCACATCTGTGTCCATCCGTGCCACCTCATCCAGCACCCCTTCTCAGGACAGGTCACCCTGCAACCTGACATTTCACAATGAGAAAACAATGCCCCGGAGAGGGTACCGGACTTGACCACACAGGGCATGAACGGCAGGGCTGGCAGCACACTGGAAGCTTGTCACTCTGGAGCGGAGGGGCCGTGTCCGTCCCCAGAGGCCCCCTCCCACCACCTGGGGTAGCGCTCCACCCTCTGCCCTCTAGGACGCTGTCATGTAAGTGTCACTGTGGTGGTTCCTGTGGTCTTCCTCCTCCGGTGCCTGAGCTGTGCCAAGGGGGCCCGTCCTCCGTCTTACTTCGGCCCCCACCCCAGGCACACCTGTCGGAGCCAGCACAAAGGGGGATGGTTCCCGAGCAGCTGCTGGTGTCGGACAGGCAGGTGATTAGGTTACAGGTGTGCGGCCAGGAGCATCCTATGTGCCATCGCCCCGTGCCTGCCACCCTGGGCCCGCCACTGCCCTTCCGTCTTGGTGCCCTGGGTGTCTGCCTGGTATCCTGGCCCGGGGCCTCTGGGCCAACCCGGCACCTGGGAGATGCTTCTCACCGCCCAGGCCCTCCCCGCTCCCCCTGCCTACCTGGGGGGCAGGAGAGGTCTCCTGGCCCACAGCTGCTCTGGTTGCCCTGGAGGCTTCAGCCAGCTGGGACAGGGGGAAGGGGCTGCAGAGGCCCCCGTCCTCTGCGTGGGATGGAGCCCCCAGCCGCTGCCTGTCACGTGGCTCAGCATGTGACAGCCCTGCCCTGCTGTCTGGAGCTGAGCCAGGGAAAGGCAGTGGCAGAGCCGGCACCAGGCGGGGCTGGGCTGGGGCTGAGCCTGACAGCCCTTACTCAGGAACCAGGCCCAGAGAGGGGAAGCCACTGGCCTAAGGCTACACAGCAAATCAGGGGCCCACCTGGGGAGGCGCTGGTGGGTGAGATGGGTGTTGCAGGATCCTGAAGGGACCCCTCCTGGCCAAAGATCGCCTTGCAGGGACCGCCAGTGAACTTGTCATGAATTCGGGAACAGCCCGGGACATCTCCAAAGAGGCCTGGCCTCCTGGCACAGGGGTCCTAACCTGGCCTGGCAGTGAAGCTCCCCCGGTTTGAGGGGGCATTTCCCCTTGGGGAGGAATAGGTACCTTCCCCTGTCTCTGGTTTGGAGGCCTCTACTGATCCTCGAAGGTCCAGGGGCTCAGTGCCGTCTGGAGGTTGTGTCCCTGTTGTGAGAGCTCAAGATAAATGGGGAGAGGTCTGTGTGGGGTCCCACCAGGAGGCACCCTTAGAGCCAGCTCTGATGGGTGACAGGCTCTGCCAAGGACCCAGGTCGGCCAGGTGGGGTGCACGTTGTGGGGAGCACAGAGGTTGGAAGAAGGGACACAGAGGCCTCGCTCCCCCACATTTGCCTCAGCCCTGTGCGCTGGCAAGTCCTCTGGGTTTTAGTTTGGAGGCTGGGATGAAATGACCTTCATTATGGTCACCTTAAGCCTCCTTCTCCGGGGTAGAGAGGTGGGGAGGGTGCGCTGGTCTTGGGTTATGGCATCAGGCAGACTCATTAATTCACTCATTCGTTCACTTCCTCCCTCCCTCAGCTCCCTCAGACAGCCAGTGAGCCTGGCTCACGGGGCCTCAGACCTGCCCAGGAGCATCTCACCACCTTGCCTGCTGACAGAGACTCAGAGCAGGCTCCCCTGCCCACCTGCGAAGCAGCCTTGAGCAGGTCACGGTCTCTCTCTTGGCTTCCCCCCACTTGTGGAGCGGGGCTGACTCTGCCTGCCTCACAGGCTGCCGCAGAGGAGAAATAGGAGTGCACCTGGAAACATCTGGTATACAGTAGGTGCTCAGTAGGCATGGATGCCTTTCTGCCCCTTTCCCGCCCTCCTGAGGGACTGGCCACCCTGGCCTTGTCCCCGAGACCCTGCCCCCACCTTCCTTCCTTGTCTCTTGCCTTAAGGTGAGCCCACCCTGGCTCCTCCCCCCCAGCCCCCAGCCCTCCCCTCAGAGACCGGCAGGACTCATCCCGTGGTGTGCTAAGGAAGCACCGTGCCGGGCACTCGACACAAATCCTCATGGAGTCTCAGACACTGTGGTCCTAGCTTGCGGGAGAGAGAGCAGGCTCGAGACGTGCAGTGACGGGCAGGAACACACAGGAAGAGTGACAGAGGGGGACTCTAGCCCAGCAAGGGCCACAGTGTTTCCAGGGTGCCCTGAGCCCTTGCCTAGGAGCCCACAGGGTCACCCTCACTCCCGGGAGCCTCATCTCTCAGCTGAAAGCAGCAGGCTCTGTTTCTTGGGCATTTGCTCTGCCAGGCACTGGCCTGGTTCTTGGCACATCTCCTCTTGGGGACCTCCCAACAGCCTGTGGTGACTGTCAGCCCCAAGGCTTTTAGTTTAAAAAAAAAAATGGCAAAGAGTCAACTCCATGCCAGGGGGCTGGCGTCGGGTGAATGAGGAGTGGTGGAGTCATTCCAGTGCGGAGTCTGCTTGGGATACTCTCTCCCTCTGCCCTTCCTGCTTGTGCTCTTTCTCTCTCTCATATAAATAAATCTTTAAAAAATAATAAAATTAAATTAAAAGACACCATCAGACCACAGAAGGAGTCCTTGTATAACAAGGACTTTTTTTTTTTCTAGAGAGAGAGTGCGTGTGTGAGCCTAAGTAGGGGGAGCAGGGAGTGGGAAGCAGGGAGGAGCAGAGGGAGAGAGAGAATCTCAAGCTGACTCCACACCCAGCTCGGAGCCCCATGTGGGGCTCAATCTTATGACTCCGAGATCATGACCTGAGCCGAAATCAAGAGTCAGACTCTTAACCGACTCAGCCACCCAGGCGCCCTGACAAGGACTTTATTTAGTTATTTATTTATTTTAAAGATTTTTATTTATTTGACACAGAGAGAGAGAGAGAGAGAGAGACAGAGCACAAACAGGGGGAGGGTCAGAGGGCAGAGGGAGAAGCCGACTCCTCTCCGAGCAGGGAGCCCGATGCGGGGCTCGATCCCAGGACTGTGGGATCCTGACCTGAGCTGAAGGCAGATGCCCAACCAACTGAACCACCCAGGCGCCCCCTGACAAGGACTTTACTTAAATAATTCTGTGACCTTAACTGTGCAGTAACCTCTTTCATAGGCCTGAACTGGGACCCAGAGAAAGCCTGCACTCTCGTGGAAGTCAGCATCTAGGAAGCAGCTACAGAGCTGCGGGGCAAAACCATGCGTCACACTGTGGGAGGTTCTGGGACACGTGGGTACCGGTATTTTCCTTATGGAGGGCAGACCCACAGGCTCCCTGGAACAATGTGTCTGCTCTCCTGCTACCTTCTCTTTGTTTTCTGGTTGTTTCTTCAAACACACTGCTTGATTTCCTCTTGGGGACCTTCTGGTGGGAGACAGAAAAAAAGCAGTGAGTTCTGAGTCGGCCCGAAACATTGGCTGTTCAGCAAGCCTTGCCCCCTCTTCCCCAGAGCAGAGAAGTCCACTTTAGGGACCTTTCCCCTCGGACCACACACACCCACTCAGGGCGTGGAAATGCCCCACACAGTCTGTGAGCTTCTCCCCCTGCCTCGCGGGCCCATAACGGACGGTCGGCTCTTGGACCACAGCGTCAAGACGCTGCGTCTCAGAGCTTCCTGGTCCTTTCAGAAGTCACCCACCTTCCCTCTCTCCATGAGACTTCTGTGGGCCTGCCCTCTTCCTGATGTAGGGACACCTAAACCCCTCCCGCCCTGTCTCTCTCCATAAGAGCCATCTGGCCTGGGACACCTCCTCTCTCTCGCCCCTTAAGGTGTGCTCTGGTGTCCAGGATGCTTCTGTTCCTCTGGCCCCCCGCCACCCTGTTTTTAGCCAGTGGAAGTCCTTTTCCGCTTACTCCTGTTTGGTAGGTGGCGGCGGGGGGGGGGGGAGTAGGCTCTGTGCAAGGTGAGGTGCTGGGGTGTCCCACACTAATGCCAGAGAAGACCGGATACTCAGCTGGGGGGATGCCCTGGGGATGCTGCTCCAAGGAGAGAGGGCCCTTCACCAACCTCTTCCTCCCTGGCTTGTTCTGGGTTCTTGGTCACTGGGGTTGGAGGAGACGTGGCTGCCAGCCCGGGGCACTTGGTCATTTCTTTCCTTAGCGGTCTCAAGAAAAAAAGGGTTTTATAGACCACAGATGCTAGTGTCCACCCAGGCCCAAGATGGTTTTAGAAGGGGCAAAGGCTCATTCTCGGCATCCTTCTCACTCTCCTGCAGATGCTCTGGAACCCCTGCCTCCTACTCCCTGCGCCACTGAGCTCACTCCCTGAGGCCACACCACCCACCTCAGGCAGCCATCTTCCCTCCTCCCGGCCACATCTCCTGCTCGCCCACTGAATTCTACAGGACTGCATCCTCCTGGGGGCATCACAGGCCCCCACCCCAACCTGCCCCATGACCTCCTGGACCTCCTCATCCCTTCCCACCTCACGCCACCGCCACACCCGGCACTTGGTCATCCCCCAAGGTAATGAACCTCAGTTTTCTGACCACAGTCTCCTGGCCTGCTAGCCCTCCAGCACCCACT